TTTTTTTTTTTTTCCTTAAGAAGAGGAATGATATAAGACGGATTTGTAATCATTCCTAGGGAATTTTTTAGCAAACCGTTTGTTCCAAAGGAAATGACGCCTGAAAAATTACAACATTTTAGTGCTTCATCAGAGGTAATCTGATGCCACAGATGTGCAATTGTGAGCTTATAAAACTGTTAACTTTAATCTCAAATACGTTAATTAGAAAGCTATCATCCGCAATTTCAAGTAATCCACTATTATTTACTAAATGTTTCTATTCTACAGGTTACACATACTTGAGGGGCAGTACTTAAGCTAAACAAACCTCAAGAAGATAAGAGTTACGGGTAATATAAAATTTTGTAAGATAAACGAATGTCTATTTAATCAAGTTTAAAATTGGGAGCTAGATTTTGTAATTTAACCCAATCACTGCACGTCTATCTTCTGTAATTTCAAGCAATCCACTATTATTTACTAATCTGTTGTTTCTATTCTACAGGATACACATATTTGAGAGGCAGTTCTTAAGCTAAACAAACCTCAAGATGATAAGGGTTACGAGTAATATTGAATTTTGTAAGATAAATGAATGTTATTTTAATCAAGTTTAAACTTGGGGACTAGATTTTGTAATTAAACCCAATTACTGAACATCTAAACTTTTCGCTAATTCTACCAAAGTTCAAGAGATGAACTTCACAGGCGCTACTCATTTTCAACCCCATAAAACAAACAACACACAGTTGCCCCTTTTTGACATTGGATCATCTGTTAAAAACGAGATCAACATAAGCAATTAAGTGCTCACCGCAGTCATCAGGAGCCTTCTTAGAACAATACCATTTTTAGATGGTAAAATTTTCAAAGCCAGATTTGCAAGATCCACTGTGCGGGAAATCTCATCTGAGGACTGAGTGAGAGAAGTTTGAGTATTCACTGGCACCAACGATTGCAGCTGTTTCCTGAATAATCAAATGATAGTCCTAACTATTGATCAAATGCAGTTTGGGAGAGTACATAGTGAAAAAAAAAAAAAGATTTTTTTCTGGTTCCTCAAAAAACCACAAATTGCAAGATGGCCCTTTGAGGTTATAAAATTCTTCAGCTTTGCTGATAATTTCACCGAAAACTGGGAATTGCACATGATGCTATCATGCTTGATAGGACAAATTTCGCAAATCATGCATTTTGCAGAAGTGAACTTCGCAGGTTTAATATAATTTCCAACTTTTAGGACATATTTACGAAATGTACTTTTCTATATTAATTTTAATAATGATATTGATAAAGACAAAATATATTATAAACAACGAAACAAGAGGTTGAAAGATGAAAACAGAGCATTTGAAATTTCTATCCATCTCACAACATCATAATTCAGCATGCTTTTTCCTTGGTCAATAAACGAAGCAAAAGCCAGTATCATTGTACCTAGTTGCTCCAATCCTTAGGAAAACAGCAAGCCTTTTCCACTGGAACTCTCTCCTGTTGTTGAACACAACCTGAAATTGTAAGCAACAGCAGATTAGTCTAACAAAGATAAACTCTATTTTCCAATTGTTTTAACTCTTAGCAATCAAACATTCATTTATCGCACGACATGGTTATAAATAGATTTCCCAACAAAGGAAGAACCAACTGTGCAATTTTGCTTGAAGTAGACCATACCGAATGTAAGATTTTCCTAGTGGCAGCAGAATTGTCAACAAGAAGCTTCTGGATAACATACGGATATGCAGCTTCAAATGTTTTAAAACTTGGATCTGAAGCTACTGCTAATCCTATAAAAATAAAGGCATAAAATAAATATAGAGATGTTGTATCATGTATCTTACAACATGCTGATTGGAAGGCTATGTTGTTGTTGTTGTTGTTGTTGTTGTATCATGTATCTATGACATTGGCAAAGCATGCTGATTGGAAGGACAAGTAAACATCGGTGTAACAATTTAGTGCCATAGAAATATGGGGTTATGTGTTGCTGGTGACAAAGAGCACAAACAATTTAGGGCTTGATTGTTTATGAAATAATTTGTTCAAAATGAGTTATTTTGGTTAACTATAGTTAATTTTGAAAAAGGTGGTATGGTTAGTTGTTAGTGGAATTTTAAGAATGTACCAAATAATATTTAAAATAAAATGATTAATATTGATTTGACGTAAAAATAAGAGATAAATGATGGAAATGATAGGCAGTTAAAATTATGTGAGTGGATGAATAGTGAATTAAAGTTGATGTGATGTGTAAAAATTATTGATTTGTATTATTTAATTATATGGATAATATTAAAGATAGTGGAGTTGAGTTAAAGTTGAGTTAGATTTTGAGTTGAAATAAAAGAGAGTAAATTAATTCATATACAATCAAGCCCTTAGCTACTGATTTATTAAAAAAAAGAAAGAAAGAAAGAAAAAGAAGAAGCTGTGCGTTATTGTAAGTGAACTTACTGGAGTCTGTTAAGCATATTCATATAACTACTAGAAGAGGAAATATAAGTCAATGAAAAGGAATAAGTTCATATATATGTATAAACTGGGGTCAGTTTGTGTTGTTAATCTAAAAACGGACAGAAAAATTTACCTTCCAGAGATGCCAGAGACCGCAAAACAAGTACATAGTATGGTGGCATGCGGCAATGATACTTTAGTGCTACAGACCAAATTCTACTCAGTACCTTCAGGATATGCAATTAAAAAGATAGCCACGATAGAATTAGGCAATCACTCAACTTCAGAGTATTTCCTTAACATTACAATATATGAGATATATCTGAGCACACACACACATACATATATAAATATATATTTATATATATGTGTGTATAGATGCTAAATTATTAAAAATAAAATTATATAAGCAAGTCATGTACAGTTAGCAATGTATAGAGGTACTAAATAATGGTCACAAGCTCCATCGAGTACAATATTTATCAAGTATTGATCCAATGAATCTAAAATCTAAAAGAGCAGTTGCAATCAATAATCTGTTTATTTATTTTCTTATGGCATCAGTTGATCTTTGGAAAAAATAATCATCGCGGCTGATTTTTTATTTAGTAATATTCAAGATATCAACACCTCGAGAGAATCCATATGATAGAATGTATTTAGAAGGCAACGGTCAAGGGCCTGCTGATATCTACAAGTCCATGTCCTAGATCTGAAACCTGATTGCATTTTATCCATTAAATATAAAAAAAAATATATATATATATATGTGTACAACATAATTCTAGTCTCTAGAGAAGGGTGACTTAAGGTTCACTAAATGCCATGAGCAATCAAACATGTTTTGTCACCATCCTTTATTACCTGACAAAATAACATTTCTGGTTAATATCAATAAGAAACTGTAAGTAACTGCATTCTCAGGACAAATTAGTGATGTGTATGGTGAGCCACCATTACCTTCTCTGCTCAGACCACTTTAAGCTAAACGTATGTGCACGCTTTAAACATAAGGAATAATTTGAACAGCATAGATTGAAGTGAAATGTTAAATAATAGATGGACATGAACAGAGTTTACCAACCAGAGCTAAAAAATTGCCATATAACCAGATGGTAAAGTCTGCATATAAGAAAAACTAATAGACATGATACCCACCAGACTAAACTTGACATCTGGCATTCCATCGTTAAATTCTAACTCCCCCAGTGCATCTTCCAGGTCCTGGATCATTTCAAAAAATGTCACCCATGCTAGTACGAATATTTAGGACAGAATCCTATCTAATAAGCTCTCCTAAAGAGAATGAATTTGACTTGCTCATACTTCAGAATATATAGTTTCAAATGTTTGACAATATGTAAGTAAATATTATTTAAGCAATCATAAGCTTAAATTAATAGGTCGGAACAGGACCAAAAAAATATCCCAGAAATGGATACTACCATGGTAAAGCGCCTAATGTTTGTTCCAGATCTTACAACATCCATTTCAACCAAATCCTGCACAAGGTTTGCCCAGTTGCAATTTACTATGTGCACAATGGAAGCAAGCATTCCCAATTGGTGCTTCTTTTCCATCCGACAGAGCAATCCAAAATCAAGAAACCTATGCAAATAGAGTTGACACACCCAAATTTCAGGTATCAGGTATACTGCTTGAGGCATAAGTATAAATTTAAATTTCAATTTAGAGATAATTCATGTGTTAAGAATGAGCAGTAGGAGAATACCCTATTTTCCCAGGTATGTACCGCAAATTTCCTGGATGTGGATCGGCATGCATTAGGCCAGTCTCAAGAAGTTGGACCAGTGAAGCCTCCACACCTTTGTTAACCTAAGAGTTAAGCAGCTGTATCGATGAAGTATAGAATGATAAAAGAGTAGTATGTAGACAATGTTGTGGTTCGATATTGATTCTCTTGCTCTTAGATACTACTTTTGCATCTAGGACTAACAAAAATCATAATGTTTTGGGTTCGCACAACTTAGATGTTTGTACTGTTGGAAGCTTGAACTGTTAACACTATAAGCTATGAAACAGAAAGTCCAATATACTTCTTTCTCTGAAATATATTGAGAAAAAAATAATTTTGAAGGAGCACTCATACCAGATCAAGAAGCTTTCGTCTCGACTCCTGAGAGGACATAGATATTAATTCACTTGGACTTTCACCAACCATCCAATCCATAGTTAAAACTCTCTTGTTGGTCAAATGCCGAAATACTTTTGGTGAACAAATGAACTTAAAGCGAGAATGAACTTCCTGAAGCAAAACAAATGAACAACAATTAAAAGAGATATAACAATAATGGATTAGCAATAGATAGTTAGATACATCTTTTTTTAACAGGATCAGCAGAGTAGAAAAAAACTAAAAAAAAAAAGTAAATAAATAATAAAATAACGACTAAAAAGTCCCACCTTCAAGCAAACCACCAATGTTATTAATGAACTTTGATATTGGCACCATGTAACAAGCACGGGACGGTAGTCCCTCTAGGATTTCAATGAGTTATAAAGTTAGTCAAAGCGAGAGAGTTACCATGAATTCTAAAGCATTAGCTGCCTCCAAGTTGTAATCTAACTCCCCAACCAAGCCTTTTCCAAGTTCATCCGCATACAGACGAAGGTCATTTTTCCTTTTTGCTACCTTTTGCAAAATTCCTAGCTGGAAATAATTTCTGAAAAGTTAATAGCAGCATCTTGAATCACTTTGAAGGTGAGAGACCAACAATATTGGACGTACCCCTATACGAAGAATATAAATATCTCTAACAACAACATGGCGTAAGTCAGGACGCTGAACTTTCACAGCAACATCAAGCCCATCACGTGTACTTGCCTTGTAAACCTACAATTTTTTTGCTAACAAGTATATCAGACAAGATAAATGACGGAACACCCAAAAAGGAACAATTTTGTTATACATTCTCTCTACAATTGATAAATGACTTCCTACATACAAGATAAAGTCTAGTGTTCATGAAGCATGGAAACCTCTTTTACACCTGCCCAAATGATGCTGCAGCCACAGGTTCCTCAGAGACATAGCTAAAAAATGTCTCCACAGGAGAGCCTAATTCTTCTTCAATGATTTTCATTGCTTTAGCCCGGGGGAAAGGAGGGATCTGATCATGCAGCTCTGAAAGTGCCTACAATAAACCAAGCAATAGAATATGAAATATGAAATATGGATTGTTTTATACATACTATAAAACAGTCTCACATTAATTTAGTGTGTGACAGTCATAACAAACTTTCATACATTCAAAGTGAAAATCATACACTTCAAAACAATTATTACATTGTTTACATAATTTTTTAAGTGTATGGTGTTTCACTTTGAGGTATAAAACATTATTTATGACATTTGCAGATTATATATATATGACTGTCTTATACTAGGTTTTATGTTAACTCATTTGTCTAGGTATATATAGAAGTAAACGAAATGGAGCTGATTTCATCTCATACCTTTGAAATTCCATAACCAGTAATATCGGGTCTTGTAGAAAGGGACTGACCAACTGCATGGGAAATTGATTACGAATGAGAATAAAATATGATCTTAGTCGAACTTGTAATAAATGAGAATACTCATGTGGAAATTTTATTAAGGATTTACATAACCAATACAAATTCTTCCGAAATCATACAAATCCCATATTACCTTTTATAAAAGTGGGTCCCAGGTTTAGCATTGTTTCTTTCAATACCATCCCAAAATTGTAATCAGAATCATTTCCTCCAGCATCTGCATCTGCAGCAGAACTGATTGAAGAAATCCTGAATTTGATTGTGGCGGAAACAAACGCAATAAAGACCTTCAACAACATAAAAGCCAGTAAGGATGGGGTTTAATTAATCAGGTCTGAAAAAACAACTCTTGCTTACAGATTCTATCATAAATCGAAGAGAAAACGATAAATCAACAACCGCTTCCAGTAACACAAATGAAATGCATGGTACTTTAAGCACATTAAACATAAATCTCATGTGAAGGTTAAAATATTAGACAATAATGACAAGATATAGGCTTATAGGTGATTTTCGAGCTTATAGCTTATAGCTGAAAAACTAACTTTTATATGATACAAGTGTTTGGTAAATTAGCTTATAAGCTAGCTGAAATAAAAATTTCAACGAGCTTATTTGAAAAGCTAACCAAAGAAGCTAATGAGATAAGCTCGAGCCTTTTAAAAAAAGTCCGTCCAACCAAACGAAGCTTATTTGAATACAGGAAGCTTATAAGCTAACCAAATAAGTTATAAGCTAGCTTATTTGGTTACCAAACATAGCCATATTCTCTGCCCATGGACCGTATTCAAATTGGTTTGGTTTTTAGACGAACAACTTTAGATGGTCGAAAGAAATCTATAGAAAATAAAACAATACCCTACAATTAAAAACACATTTATTCAAGTAGAAGTTCATTTGGCCTATGAACAAGTTTTCTTGTAACACAGCAATTTCATTTCTTTGTTTTCAGCTTTCTTTTGTTCTCAGCACATTTGTTTTAAAGAATAAGATCACTTTGGAGCATAAGATCCAGTATGAAATCCATATATGCAGCTAATAGTAAGTACTGACGAAAGATTTCAGCTCATTGTAAGATACATATGAGAAGAGAACCAGCGATTTATAAAGTCGAAACCACTGGAGAAAAAATAAGACCGTGTTTTCTACTTAACTGCCACCTAAGCTAGCTTAACCCATTAAAATCACAATTAATAAACACACGCTTTTATTAATAAATAGCTAAAAACAATTGCCTGCAGGTGCATGTTCATATATTCAACAAATTACAAAAGTTTACAATCTTTTAATTTGAACACTTTCCCCAATAAATTGAATCCCAAGGAATGTGAACCATTTGAAATTGCACAATTAATTGTATGCAAATCTTCGATGAAAGAAACTGAGCTCAAGCTAACGCATTCTATGAAGAGAGCAAAAACTCAATTCAAGTTTAGCAAAAGCATCTTATACTGAAACTATAGGATTAGTAGGATTACTATTCCATATGGGTAGAGTAAATTTCCTTGAAGTCAGTATGACGAGAGTACAAATTAATCCATGAGGAAAACAAAAGGTTATTACCTCAAGAAGTCGGAGACCTACTACATGAGGCCTCAAGGTGAAATATTCTGTAACTTCTTCTGCATCATACATTTCAGGAAGAGGCTTTGTCCACATCTTGGATAGATGATAAAAATAACTAGCATAAACCTCCATGGCTTTGAGATCAGCCAGAAATAGATCAACACCAGAGAGCTCTTCAAAACAAGAGAAAATAGTTATATTGAGAGAGCTTTTGTATGTACAAGAAAGTAAGATCCCAAGTACTTATACGCAAATGCATATTTCTTTGCTCTTTCTCAATAAACTTATAGCATCTAATTAAACAATCAATCATCACAGTGAACATTATGATTCATGCCGCAAACTAGTTATGAAATATAGATGAGAGGGCACACAGTTGGGATTCTTTTATGTAATATCTGTTTATACTTTATACACATTTATTCACAACTGCGAAGCTCAAGCTTGATTGAAAGTCATACGTTCGGTCACATAATTTCATAACCGAGCCAAACATGGTTACAGTCGAGCGATACTTCATGAAAAGTTAGATTCTGAATTTTCTGATTCAACAGACGTCTACGGACATGCCAGTATACAATGCCGCCAAAATGAGCAAGATAAAGAGCATCATAGGGCGCAAATGATTAGCTTTATTATCAAGGCATCAACTTCCACATGTCAAAGAAATGTAAGTAAGTTTCTAAAATTCTCCATAGTAGGTAAGGGAAGCTAAAATCTAATGAATGCCTTCATGAAAAGTGACCCAAATTGCCCCTAAATCCAAACTACAACTAGCATATGACCAAACTACTTGTCGAAGTGAGGATAAATTCATCCAAACTAGCTCAACAAAGGTCCCCATTGAAGCACTATCAAGTTCGAACTCTACCTGGATAGTAAGGCTCTGGCCAAGACGGAAACCGAGAAGACACCGCCTGAGGGTCCTCCACATTCCGCAGCCATATCAGATCCTCCACGGACTTCGAAACCTCCGGAACTCGAAACGCTCTGTTGGCCCACCGCAATCCCTTGCTAAAACCCGCTTTCAAAAACGCTACGTCTTTCTGCACGACTTCAACGACGTTCCCCAGCCCACCACCATTCCTGCTCCGCCTCTGCTTCTTCCCGAGGCCGACGCTTTTACGGTCTCTCTTCAAGGGACTCCTCTTGGTGGCCTGAGTGGCTCTCGCAGAGCAAATAACGGGGACCGGCGATATAGCTGACGCCATACGAACCCGAATTCTTCGGAAAGTAGATTTACTGTGGAAATCTGGCGGCCATTTGAGGCTGAGAATTTGAGATGGGGCGTTGAATTTCAGGTGATTATCTCGCGGTGTTCACATGAGCAGCAGCGGAGGAGAAGAGTGGAGATGGATGAAGGAAATTGATGACGACCAATCGTGTTGGCCGGTGGAGGGTAGGGGACCTAATTGAAATTTGGGAAAAGAGTTGGGGTTGAAAAGGTATAAAAGGATAATAGACTTGGCCTGTCCTATTGACCTAACGTACAGAGTTGAAACATTTTGAACTCGTGTTTGATTATGTGCGATCGCTGTTCGTATTTAATTTGTTTATATTGTAGCAAAAATTTATGTTTGAACTCATTCGTTTAATTATTCGTTGATTGTTGGTGTGTGAGGCATTACGGGGCCTAATTGAAATTTGGAAGAGCGTTGGGATCGGAAAGTAAAAGACCAAATGGTGTTGGTTGATCTTGATGACTAATTGAGTTGAGCTAGAACATTTTGAAACTCGCGTTATATTATGTTTAATCGTTGTTCATATTCATTCGTTTATCATTTATGCAATTATTCAATGTTCAAGGTCACTCGTTTAATAGTTCGTTGAAAATCGAGTTTGTCCAATAACTTAGTAATCAATCTTGTTGAAAATGTTTGATCAAGTTGAGTGAATAATTTAGTAATCAATCTTGTTGAAATTGTTTGATTAAATTGTGTTGTAACCTCAAATATTTTTTTTTTTCAACAAATGAATTAAATTATCATTATTTTACAAAAACATATCATACATATAGATATAAGAATATATATTAAATTAATATTGACAAAATTATCGAACGGTCGTAGACGACTCATATTGGTTTGATTAATAAATGATCTTAATTTCTTTGCAAGCTAAACTCGGCCAATAAACAAACAAACCTTTTGTTACGCAAATTATCCTAAGATTCAGTTTGAACTACAATCTGTTGACTTGAACCGTCTCGTCACCTCTGCTGACCTGCAAAACATTGGGAGGAGTCCCGGCGGAAAAGACTCTGACGCTCAAGTCAGTATGTGTTTGACGAAAAAGTAGCAGTATATGAATTTGCGCGTATATAAATATATATATGTGTGTGTGTGTGTGTTATTGAATAAGAACATGAATGCCTCTTTTATAGTTAAGGTTGAGTGCTGACTACAAGATTCCCGGTATGGTAAGAAGCATAGTTATGAAAATTGAACCAGTGAAGCTACCGATTTAGTGGTTCACTAGTCGGACCAATGGTCGAACCAATTTAATTAATATATATTCAATTATTTATTATTATATATAATATATAATTATATATATTTTTATTATTAATTTTATAGTGTATGATATTTCTCTAAATAATAGTTTAATAATAGATACAACCGACAATGTTGAATAATGATGATGATTCTTTTCCATTTTATTTTTTATATTTAAAATCTTAATCTATATATATGTTATAAAATAGAGAGAATACAAACAACTCGATTTTTATTTTTAAATCACATTTTAAGTATTTTACTATTGGTTAAAAAAATAAAAATAATATACATAACATATAACAGTAAACTGTTTATTCCTTTTTACTAGATTGTGAATGGGTGTTACTATTTACACCCCCCCCCCCCTATTTCTACGTACCGCCTCATTTGGACAATTTTGCCCCGAACACTTTTCCAAACAAATTTTTTTTTTAAAAAAAATCTTGTCGTCCAGCCGGTAAAACCGGCCATGCACCGCGCCGTCCGGTTTCGCCAGTAGGACGCGACCGTGCACGTCTGCAATCGCCAGAAGGATGCGATCGTGCTCGTCCGCGATCGCCGACAGGACGCGAGCGTGCAAGTCCACGATCTCCGCCAGAATGGCAAATTTTTTTTTTTTTATTTTTTTTATAATCAATTTTTTTGTTATGTTAGAATTTTATATATTATCCCCCTATATATTAATACAGAACGCACTGAGCTTACGTGGCTGCTTCTGGTGCTTCGGAATCCTATGTGGCAAAATTACATGCTTCGTTATTAGGCTTGGGTAAATTTTAATTTAATACAAACCAAAAAATAATTAGGTTCGGATTACCATAAATATGTTGATTATTTATGGTCATGTTAAATGTATTAATTGTATTTTAATATCATTCCTTATTATAACTATTAAATTGTATATATATTTTAAAAGTTAATAACTTTTGTATTTTTTATCAGTTTTACATATGTAATATATCAAATTAATCTTTTTTTGATGAGGTTCCATTTAACATCCATATTGTATGTATAAAAAATAGTAATTTATATTTATCTTTATAACAATAATAAAATTATTTGTAATATTATTTAGAAAAATAAAATTATTTATCAACTAATATATTTATATTTCAAGTAGTTATATGATATAAGTTATAAAAACTAATATAATATAAAACATTTAGTCATAAGTAACACATATCATTCTAAAATATATAGTAATATATTTTTTTTAAAAAAAGTAAAATAAATTTAATATAAGTTTCTCATTATTTTAAAAATTTAAAAATAATTTTTCAACAAGTACCCGTGTAATACACGGGTGTTGTACTAGTTATGTTATAAATTAGAATTTAGAAATTATTATACTATAAATAACTATTAAACTACAATTTATCTAAATTTATTATACTATAAATAACTATTAAACTACAATTTATCTAAATTAACCTAAATTAAAAGACTAAGTGAATTGTATTTGTAATATACTTTTTAACATAAATTAAGTGAATTTTATTTTTAAAATTTTTAACCTAAATTTAGTGAGTTTTATTTTTAATATGTACACTAATACAATCTTTGCCGAATACTATCTTATTATACAATTTCCATACATATTATAAATCTCTTTATTTAATATTGCATCTTATAATAAAATATTTTCCAAATAGATATATCTCGTGCATCGCACGAGCACGTACTATATGTACCCCGTACATTTTTCTTTATTCATGTATATAATAATAATCCTCGCTAAATAGCCTTAAAATTGTGCACTTCGTGCATCGCACGGGCTCTGCACTAGTAACATATAGCAGTAAATTAATTGTTTATTTCTTTTTACTGGATGTGAATGGGTGTTGCTATTTAGTATTTACTGCCCCCCTTATTTCTACGTACTGTCTCATTTGGACAATTTTGCCCCGAACACTTTTCCAAAAAAAACATAAAATAATCTTGTCGTCCGGCCGGTGAACCGGCCGTGCATGGCGTTGTCCGGTTTCGCCAGTAGGACGCGACCGTGCAAGTCCGCGATCTTCGGCCGAATGGCAGAATTTTTTTAATTTTTTTTTATAATCAATTTCTTGTTATATTAGAATTTTATACATTATTATGTTATATTTATACTATAAATAACTATT